TGCCACCAGGCATTTCCCTGCCTTTCCGTGACCATTTTGCACACTGCTTCAGCCCATGCATGGAGCTGCTGTTAGCTTAGTATGGGTGGACATGAGGAAGCTACCAGCTTCGATAATCAATCACCCCAATACATACCCCAGAGCCACCTCGCACTTCTTGTATCTAGGCTTGATGCTCCCCTAAGCCTTTATACACTTGACTCAGACTCATTGATGGTTAACATTTTGCCCCACTTCTTCTACCATTTTTTGTCAATGTCTCTAATGTATATTCTTCTTTTGAAGTTCTTGAGAATAAGATGCAGACATCATGCTCATTTGCTCCTAAATATTTCCATGTGTATTTCCTAAGAAAATGGACATTCTGTTATATAACCGCATCCCAGTTATCTAAAGCAGGAGATTTAATGTTGATAAAAAAAAAAACTCTTCTCTAACCCCTAGTCCATATTCAGGTTTCATTACTTACCTCAACAACGTATTTTATAGCAGTAATTTTTCCTAGTCTAGGATCTAACCTAGGATTTTGTATTGTATTTAATTATCATGTCTCTTTACTTTCTTATAATCTCAGAGAGTTCCTCAGTTTTTCTTGTCCTTCACGACCCTGCAATTTTTGAAGGGTATAGGCCAGGTTTTTGTTTTGGTTTGGTTTGGTTTTTGGGTTTTTTGTTTTTGTTTTTTTTTATAGAATGTCCCTCAACTTGAGTTGCCTGAGGTTTTCCTTACATTTAGATTCAGGTTATGCATTTTTGGCAGGATTAGCTCAATATATCATATCAGAAGGCACATGATGTTCATCCCAATATTGGTGACGTTCGCCTTGATCACTTCATTGAGGTAATATATTCTGTTGGTTTGCACACTGGCCCCCGTCCATAGAGGGCAAGGTGAGACCAAAGAAAGAGGCAGACCACTCCAGGTTGGTAGGTGGCAGTTTTTAATAAGGAGGGGAACTTTATTACGAGGTTTGTCTTGGGCAGCAGCAAGACAAAGAAATATCTGCACCCGCACACCAGAATCTTAAAAGTTTATTATACAGAGGCCTTAACTAGGTTGTTACATATACCACCCAGATGGTTTCAACACCTTACTGTCTCAAGGTTATGTCCTTGGAACAGCTCCTGCTGTGGGAATGGTGGGCCGAACTTACATACCAAGGACAAGGGAGGGGTGAAGAGGCTCCAGTCCAGCTGGAGGGTCAAATGATGGTCGTGTCTTCTCAATGACCTCCTCCAACATGCTCAAGTTTACCACTGTGAAGTGAATATTTTCTTTTGTAATTAATAAGTATTTTTTAGGTACTTTGCAACTATGTAAATATCCCATTTCTCAGATCAAATTGACACCTGTTAGTTTTAGTAAGTAATCTTTCAAAAATCTCAATCTGATCAAGTGACTCCCCTGCTCCAAATAATCCAATGATGTCCCTGTGCATTTCACTTCTTTTAGGGAACACCTTCCCCATTGCCCAGGTCCTACTTCTGAGAGTCTTTCTCGATTCCTCTCCCTTTCTCACTGTCCTCAGTGTCCACAAGGTCCCCCCATTCTACTTTCTGAATATTTGTTATTTCTCCTTCTCTTTGTCCTTCAGTTCAAGTTCTTACCAATTAGTTCTGCCCTTGTCTATTTAAATTTTCTGTCTGTCCTTGCCGGTTCAAGCCTCGGTTCCTAAACTATCCTTCAAACTGCTACCTGAAAGATCTTTCTAAAGCCAAATATCTATTATTGATATCTTCACATATATATATAAGAAAGTCCAACTAATAGGCTTCAGAGATATAGAACAAAAAATGTGGGAGCACGGGGAGGGGATGTTGTCAAGAAAATCATGTAAGAACATTTCCCAGAAAGGAAGAATATGAATTTCCAGACTGAGAGGGCCCAACACAGGCCTGGAGAGAACTCTGTAGAAACCATAAGCTTTAGCTCACTGTTGCGATGCAGGAATGGGTCCCATGTTGCCAGATATCCTGATTTTTTAAAAAGAAGAAAAATCACATTGTTAGTGGAAACTCTACTAATTTTTAAATTATGACTGAAATTAAAAAAAAAATACATGCACAACACCCACAAACATGAAACTAGGGGAGGACAGGGGCATCTGTAGGTTAGACTATAGTGTACATGAAAAGCATTTGGGGGTGTAGAGTCTGGAAAAGCAAGATGGACCCAGCATGAAAAGTCCTGGAAGCCAGCAGAAGGAGTATGAGCTTTTTTTTCAAGGGTGAGGGAGATGTTGATGATCTGTGAGCAGAGGGTAATGCTATTAGAGAACTTAATGTTTAGAAAATTCAGACTGTGGTGTGGAGATATCTGGGCAGTAGGAAGGGGGATGGACAGTAGGAAAACCTAGGCCTTACGAGGCCACAGTAATAGAAATGAGAGCCCAAACCAAGGTCATGGTTATGAAACATTTTAAGTTTCTGGAATGCCTGGAAGCCACCGGGCTCTTCATTAAATTAAAAATATAATGAGGGGCACCTGGGTGGCTCAGTCGGTTAAGTGTCTGCCTTTGGCTCAGGTCATGATCTCAAGGTCCTGGGATCGAGTCCCGCATCAGGCTCCTTGCTCAGGGGGGGGTCTCCTTCTCCCCGTCTCTGCCCCTGACTTGTGCACTCTCTCTCTCTCAAATGAAGAAACAAAATCTTTTTTTTTTTAAGATTTTATTTATTTGTCAGAGAGAAAGAGAGAGAGAGCATGAGCAGAGGGAGGGGCAGAGGGAGAAGCAGGCTCCCGGCTGAGCAACGAGCCTGGATGAGGGACTCAATCCCAGGGCCCTGGAATCATGACCTGAGCGGAAGGCAGACGCTTAACTTACTGAGCCTCCCAGGGTGTCCCTAAATAAAATCTTTAAAAAAGTAAATAAAATAAAGTAAAAGAAAATAAAAAAAAAATGAAAACAAAGAAGAGAGGAAACAAAAAAAGGTATTAATACGTAATTTTTATTTATGAACTATGATTTACTAAATAAAATTCCCATTTCACACTATGAAACAAAATACATGAACACTATAATCAAGTTTCCAGTGTCCACGGAAACTATCAATTTTACGTGGTTGGCTCTTTTGAAGTTTTTCTGTAACTGTTCGTTTACCAAAGTTTTTTTTTTTCCTTGTAATCAGGTGAATGATTAAACAAGCCTCAAAATTAAGAAAAATGTGAATTTTTTTTTTACTTTAGAGAAATGTATCTATTAACATGCTTTAAAAAATGAATTAATATAGACTATCATTCCATTTTAAGAGAGGAACCAAGGTCCAGCTCCCTGCCAGAATAGCAGAATTGGATATTATTAGTATTACTTAAAAACAAATAATAATAATAACTAATAAATACCAATAACAAAAAGCTGCCATTTAAAAAATATCCGTTGCTTTCCATGCATTTTAGAATGTAGGTATTATTATCTTCTTTTTACAGATAAGGAAGTTGGAATGAGAGAAACGAAGTCACAAAACTAGTGAGAGCAGAGTTCAGATTCCAAGCCAGGCGCCTGACGTAAATGCCAGCATTCTTCATACACTAAGCTGCTTCCAGTTAATAGTGCACCTGCCATAGATGATTCTCTTCCAATTCATAAGTTTCTTATCATGCAACCGCCTTACATAGTCAACATTTTTCTCCATCATAGTCCTTGCATTCAGGTGTATTAAAAAAGGTTAATGAAGAAGTAGATCATAGGAACCAACCTTTAGGGGCGCCTGGGTGGCTCAGTCGTTGAGCGTCTTCCTTTCGGCTCTGGTCATGGTGCCGGGGTCCCGGAATGGAGCCCCGCCTGCATCGGGCTCCCTGCTCGGCGGGAGGCCTGCTTCTCCCTCTCCCCCTGCTTTTGTTCCCTCTCTCGCTGTGTGTCTCTCTCTCATATAAATAAATAAAATCTTAAAAAAAAGGAACCAACCTTTCTACCACCAACTAAAGCACCACCCATGGCCCTGGGATGCCCTACTCTGTAGTTGCATATAATTTCACCCAGAAGTTGAAAGAAAATGCCTGCTCATTTCCCTTGAATTCAACCCCTCACTCACCTTCCCACCCACCCACCTCCTTCTTTTACTTTAACCAAGGCCTGATTTACATTACTAGTGGAACATTCCTCCCAGGCTGCCTCAGCTGTCAGGGGCAGCAAATGTCCTAAACGGAGGCTGCAGGATCCCTGGGAGAGTTTACATTATGTTCTTACAAGCTATTAATGCGTGTGCTTATATGGATGAGCTGTTCTCTTAAAACGTTGTATTCATTGTAAAATTTGGTCTGGAAGACACCACAGAGAAAGCTGAGTGAACAGCTTACACATCCTGCAGTGGCGAGTCTGTGTGTTTTCCCAGGAGACTGCAGGCCCTTCCCAGCCCCCAGAAAGGTTGCTTTCCTCTGGACAGGGGACTCGGCCCCTCTCCTGACACCCAGCTCAGACTGGTTACTCAATGAATGGATGGATCTAGTCCAAGCCATTGTCTCCTAGATACGATGGTCCCCAGACCCAAAGAAGTGAGATTCCCTGTCCAATTCCCCCAGGGCCTCACTCCCAATCCAGTGTTTGCATAAAACCCGGTTGCTCGTTTTTAGAGCCACAATAGGGCTGGAATCAGACTTTACTACCTCCTGCTGTGCCACCCAGGGCCAGGAGCTTGCCTCATTTGCAAAATGGGAGGAACGGGGACCACCTGAAAGGGTTGTGGTGAAGGATTTATAACTCGATGCAAGCCGAGTACTTAGCATAAGGCCCGCCCCTGGCGGAGAATGAGACCATTTTGATGGAGACGAAAGGGGGACGCCGGCGGGAAACCGGAGGTGGGGCAGCGGAAGGGGTGGGCGAGGGTTCCGCTGGCGCCCGGCGGGGTGGCAGCGCGGCTCCCACGAGGTCCGGCCGAGATCGTCCCGCGGAAGCGTGGCTTTCCTCCCGCAGCCGGGGCCGTGCGTGGGGTGAGCGGCCGCCGCCGCCGCGGAACCAGCGCGGGGAGGACCTTTCGACGCGCCCGCGGACGCCCCGCCCCGGAAACACGCCCCCCGCCGCCTTGGCGCGCTTTTGACAGTGTCTTCCCTTTCTCCTTGTACTTTTCGCAGGGTCCGGGTTGCTCGTCGAGCTCCGTTCTCTCTCATTAGCCCTGCGGGGCCCCCCTCCGGGCGTAGCGATGAGGCGGACCCGCGCGGAGGTGGACGCGACGCTCCAGATCGCCAAGCTGAATGCGGCCGAGCTGCTGCCGGTGGTGCACTGCCTGGGCTTCGGCCCCGGGGCCGGCGCCGCTGCCGGCGACTTCTGCCTGCTGGAGCTGGAGCCCGCGCTGTGCCAGCAGCTGGAGGCCGGGCACAGGTGATTGCCCCGCGGGGAGACTGGGCCGGAAACGCGCCTTGATTTGAACGCAGGGCTCGCAGCTGCCCGGAGGCCGCCTCTCCGGCGCGCTGCCTTTTTTCCCGAGGAGTCCACGCCACTGCTGGTCCGCCCACTTAGCGGGACTGAGGTCATACAGAGGGCTGGTCCAGCTGATCTCGGGGAGGCCTGCGTCCGCGGAAACAAAGCAGGAAAGAGAACCTCAGTGACGTTTTGGAGACCTTAACCAGGATGCCAGGAACTGCACTGAACACTTCCGCCATTCTAGCTTAAAATCCAGTGCTACTATCTAATATTTATACACTTCTCCTTGCCTTCTACTTATATTCCGTAAGTAGGTCGGACTGTAGGGAATAAGTTGAAAGCCGTTCTACAGAGTTGGTCATTGTGGGAGGCCCTCAAAACACAGACTCGGCGTGGGGTCATTTAATGGAAATCTGAAGCTGTTTCTAATTTTGGGTCAGCTACACATTTGCTGCAAAACCCTGGATTAAAAAACATAAGGGCAGAAGTCTAGAGAATCATTCAACTTTGTGCGCTCCCAGCTTCTGGAAATAGGAGTTAGGGGCTCTGGTTTGCTTCTCTTCTGCACCGCCCTTCCTCCATACAACACCTGTCTTTTATTAGGTAGTTTGTTCTCTTGTAGATTTCTTTAAATTGAACTCTTCAGGCTTTCAGTTTTCATATTTACTCGTCTGACACTGTTATAATTAACTGGCCCCCTGCAGATGCTAGCCACAAAGGATCTTTAAGGAAGTCCAAGGGGAGCCTCATTCATTGGTTTTCATTCCAGCTGAGTTGGGGGGAAGCGCGGAGTTTAAGAAAGGACTTCAGGTGTGCGGACTTTGTTTTTATCCAGTTACTATTCATCCACCTGGCAATCCAGAAGGACCTAGAAATGTGTGTTTTAAAAAACATTTTTGCCAGGGGACGGGTTTAAACAAAATATTGAAGCATGGATAGTGCAATGTGGAAATAAATGTTGAAGAGTGGGTACTTGGGACTGTTAAGTGTTATTAGCACTAGGAAACTAAAAAAAAACCAAACACTTTTCACTTAAATTGTCTTAATTTTAAAAAGCATTTACACATTCTTCTATTTCAGGTTTTATTTTTATTTCTTTAAAAGAAGTGAATAGTGTACGGGAGAGTTAAACGTTATACAGACAAAACTGCTAGGGTCTATGCCCTTGTTGTCAATCCCATCACCTTTGTCTTTAGTCTTCTTCCTTTTGTCTGTCCTTCCCCTCTTCTCCTCTTCTTGCTCTTTTCCACCGGTGAGCCGTTGTCAGAACTTATTTACTGCAGTTTGTGAAAACATATTTTTCATGTATTTTCATTTAGCATTGCAGTTATCTTTATAAAGTCCCAATTTCTTTGCAACAGAGCTGATGCGTAGGCTAGGATGTGCTTCTTTGATTGCTAGGGGATATTCAGAACAAAACAAGAAGACCCACTCTTGGGGCGCCTGGGTGGCTCAGTCGTTAAGCGTCTGCCTTCGGCTCAGGTCATGATCTCGGGGTCCTGGGATGGAGCCCCGCATCGGGCTCTCTGCTCCATGGGGAGCCTGCTTCTCCCTCTCCCACGCCCCCTGCTTGTGTTCCCTCTCTCGCTGTCTCTCTCTGTCAAATAAATAAATAAATAAATCTTTAAAAAAAAAAAAAAGACCCACTCTTAGTTGGGCACCAGGACCAACAGCGTGATGATCCTCTGGGAGCCTGTTAGAAATGCAGAATCCTGGGTCCCATCCCAGACCTGCAGATTGGGATTCAGTTTTTTAACAAGATTCCCTGAGGTACCTATGCATAGGTTTGAGAAGTATTGCTTTAACATGATTTAGGAAATTGACATCTTGACCGAAGTTACTGGATGGTTTGTCTTGTGCTCTTCCAAGCAGTTTGCATGAAGATGCCACGTGGTGATAGTTGGCCTCTTGGGCTCTTTGGATCTTTCTTACTCATGTTGAATTACTGTTCCTTAGTGAGACCACCTGGTGCCCCTCTGTCTCTCAACAGGCCCCCCCCTTGCTTTGTGAGCCCAACATGTGCTCGAGGGTGATGAAAATAGGGGCCAGACAGCCTCAAGACTTAATTTTAAATTCTACAAGCCTAGAGGATTTTGGAACTGTTTATAATGAAGATGTCCGTTGGTGTCTCTAAACCATGTATTTTCTTTTCCCATTTTCCTGCAGTCTTGTGATTCGGGGTGATAAAGATGAGCAGGCTGTGCTGTGCAATAAAGACAAAACGTATGACTTGAGAACAGCAGACACTTCCAATATGTTGCTTTTTATTCCTGGTTGTAAAACTCCCGACCAGCTGAAGATGGAGGAAACACATTGTAACATTATTCACACTGAGGTACTGTTCTCTGCCTTCTAATTTATATAAGAATCACAACCCATGTGCTAATATTGCCTTTAATAATGATGTAATGTATGGTGATTAACATAACATAATTAAAAAAATAAATTTAACATTAAAAAAATAAAATCTTTAGGTATGGGGGCACCTGGGTGGCTCAGTCACTTAAGCATCTGACTCTTGGCTTTTGGCTCAGGTCATGATCTCAGGGTCCTGAGATGGGCTTTGAGTTTGGCTCTGTGCTCAGCGGGGGAGTCTGCTTGAGATTCGCTCCCTCTCCCTTCTGCCCCTCCCCCCTCTCTAAAATAATAAATAAAATAAATCTTTCAAAAAATCTTTAGTTGTGAAATGTATAATCACGGGATCTGAAAAGTTCTCTAATGAAATTTAAAATTTTTCAGCATTGTTTGGAGTCTTGTGAAGTTGGCTTATTTTCCCTATTTGATTTTTAAGTCCTAGACAAGATGACCATTTTCTGCAACATGGAAAGTTTGTTATTAGGTGATATATTCTAAAAGTTTTACCTATTTTTAGTAAGTCTTACTGTAGATATGTTTTGAAAGGAGACTTCCTCAAACCACAACTAATACCTTAAGTAATGGTTATGAGGTGGAGAAATGAAGAAATTTGAATTTTTGAGGCAGGTGTGTTTCTCGGTTTAGCTCATTACTGCCTCTAGCCATGCATAATAAATTCTTAATTATTATGGAGACTACTGCTTATAGATACCAAATAGAAGTCTCCATCCTAGCTAGATTATTACACACATCATGATCAAAACACGGCTTTTAATTCTCTCAGAATGACTTTAGGCCAACTACTGCCTTAGAATTGGCATAGAAATAAGGGAAAATACTGGGAAATGTCAGTGACCCATGATGTTGTTAGAACAGAATAACTTCCAGTAAATTTTCTATTTTGGTTCAATTGTAATTAACTAGAAATACGGGCAGTTCAGCCTTTTGTAAAAGATGTTACTTTTTCATCACGTACCTGTTTTGTAGGTGTTTTTGCAGGGGTATAACAATATGGGAGTACTTCTGAGCTCTCGTTATGGAAATTCTGTGCACTGAGACTGGGTAAAGTGTAACAGATCTACCAACTAAGGTTTTTTTTTTAAGATTTTATTTATTTGAGGGGCGCCTGGGTGGCTCAGTCGGTTAAGCGACTGCCTTCGGCTCAGGTCATGATCCTGGAGTCCCGGGATCGAGTCCCGCATCGGGCTCCCTGCTCGGCAGGGAGTCTGCTTCTCCCTCTGACCCTCCCCCCTCTCATGTGCTTGCTCTCTCTCATTCTCTCTCTCAAATAAATAAATAAAATCTTTAACAAAAAAAAAAAAAAAAAAAAAGATTTTATTTATTTGAGAGAGAAAGCACAAGTGGAGTCGGGGGAGGGACAAAAGGAGGGGGAGAAGCAGACTTCCCACTAAGCAGGGTGCCCATTGCAGGGCTAGATCCCAGGACCCTGGGATCATGACCTGAGCCAAAGGCAGACACTTAACTGACTGGAGCGCCCCAAAGATCTACCAACTAAATGTTTAATCTGTGGTTGCACTTCAGATGCCTAGAAGGGCTAGGTGAGGAATGCACGTGGGCCAAGCAGGCTGCTGCTGATAAAATGGTAGTGGTTACCAGTCTCTGCAATAATAGAGAATGGTGGGGTCTGTGGCAAATCGAAGAACACAAGTCCCACGTAGGTGGGCGGCCACAGCTTGGCCTTGTGGGAAAGCAGGCCCAGAGCTGCCAGATCTTCTGACTTCTTGTTTTCAGGTAAACCTTGACATTTAGATCTTGGGACAAAATCTCCTCTAATATTTCCATGTCAGCAGCTAGTTTCAACTCTATACTATATTCCTATCCCTTCCACACAACACAAAGCAACACACCAGCATCTGTGGTTTGGATATAGCCAGCAGCCTGTCAGTTTGTGAACCGTGGATGAAATTGATCTTTTTGGTTTGGTCTTAAGCTCCTCTTTTGGAATCCTCGGGTTCAACAACATTACCATCAGGTTTGGCTAGGCCTTGTCTAATCACTTAAGCCTTGTACTAGTTTGAAAGTAGAAGCATCCCCTGACCTTGCATTTTAGAGTTGGAAGGCACCCTGCATATAATCCAGTTCAGCCTTTTTTCCTTATTTATGTGAACCACTTACTGGGTACCTACCAAGTGCTAGATATTGGCAAGGTAGGTACAAGGTAGGTACCTCTGGGGAGGTAGGGAGGGGTAACAGATACTCACCCACCAAGTAGCCACCGTCAACTGGATTGCTTTGAGTGATGAGCCTCTCACTGTTTCACAATAAGGAATTAGCTGCAACTCTAGATAGTAGGAAGTTCTTGCACTGAAAAGAAATATTTCTTCCTTAACTTTCTGCTAGATTTTGAAACCATAAGCAACGTAGAACAAGGATACTCTCTCTCTCCTTTAACATCCCTTCATTATTTGAAGACTGTGATAATGTCTTCTTAATTTTTTGTTTTCCATCCTAAAAGTATTCCATCAGATTTGCAGAATGGTCACCATCCTGATCATTCTTTTTCTGGGCATACCCTAGTTTCCATAGTACACTTGAGATACTGAGCTCAATGACTGGTTCTCACTCTGTTGGCAGTGTCTTCTTAACTGGGGTTTGAAAAGATCTTCCTGAAGATACCCATCCATTTGCTTGAGATGCCTGGAGGGGGCCTTCTCAGTAGAAAGCAGATTACCTGGCTCTCTCTTCTTCTTGAGAGCAGATGAATTGGTTGAAATTTTGTATGAAATTTTCTTTTAGAATGGCCCCTAAAAGGTTATATCTTTATATTTTCTAGATCTTTGGTTTTTCTAATAATTATTGGGAATTAAGAAGATGCAGACCTAAATTAAAGAAGCTAAAGAAACTTTTGATGGAAAATACCTATGAAGGACCCGACAGTCAAAAAGAAAAGGATTCAAATCATTCAAAAGTAAGACTTATTTTCATTTGAAACTTAAAAAATAGAACTATAATTAGAGGCACTGATGGCGACATTCTTACTTTCAGTGTTTATATTTATATTATGAAAATTTCAAATATACCCCAAAGCAGAAAGACCCCCATATATGCATCACCCAGTTGAACATTTATCAATATTTTCTCAATCTTGCTGCTTCTGTCCCCCTGCTGCTTCCCACTTTTTTTTTTTTTTCCTTCTTTTTCAGGAGTACTTTAAAGCAAATCCTAGATATCCTGGTGTCATTTACATAGCTGAAAGGTTCACAGGTTCCTAACTATGGAATATGTTTTTTAGAAGATAAATTAATTTTTATTTAATTAAAAATTATAATTAGAGGCTCTTCAAAAAAGATTTTATGGAAATGGAAAGTATTCTTATTATGTGAAAATTAACTGCTTCCTGAAAGTATGGGAAACTATTTACAAGCCAAGTAAAAAAAATTCTCCAGTTTTTAATGTAGTTTGAAATTATAGACCTGCACGGGCATTCTGAAGACCATATTTATGTTCTCTTTTTCTCCTTTGACTGATTGATTTTCTTCTTTCTTTTTCTTTTTCTCTTTTTGGTAACCACTTTATTGAGATACAAGTTTGTATACCAGACAGTTCACTCATTTTAAAGTGACTTTAATTCAGTGGTTTTAGGACATTCACAGAGTTGTGTGGTCAGTCACCACGATGATGTTCAGAATATTTTCATCACCCCAAGGAAACCCTGTACCTTCTAATTTTAACTGTTACCTTCTAATCTTACCTTTCCCTGCTTCCCTCTCCTACTCAGCCCTAGGCAACCACTAATCTACTTTCAATCTCTTGATTTGCTCCTGATTTGCCCTTTCTGGGCATTTCATATGAAGAGAATCATATGATATGTGACCTTTTCTCACTGGCTTTTTTGACTTGTGATGTTTTTTAAGGTTCATTCATGTTGTAGCATATATCAGTAGTTTATTTCTCTTTATTGCTAAAAATACTCCATTTTATGGGTATATCATATTTTATTCATTCATCAGTTGAGAGACATGGGTAATTTTCCATATTTTGATTATTATGAAGGACATTCCTGTGAACATTCATGTACAAGTTTCTAGTGGACCTGTGTTTTAATTTCTTTTGGGTATGTACATAATAAGAGTGGAATTGATGGGTTATAGGGTAACTCTTTATAACTTTTTGAGGAACTGCCAGACTGTTTCCAAAGTGGCTGCACCATTTTACATTCCCATTGTATGAGGACTCCAATATCTCCACCTCCCTGACAACACTTGTTATTATCTTTTTTTATATCAATACCAGTGGATTTGAAGTATCATCGTGGTTTTCATGTGCATTTCCCTAATGACTGATGATGTTGAGCATCTTTTTATGTGCTTCTTGACTATTTATATTTCATTGAAAATTGTCGATCCAGGAACTCCTTTGTCCAATTATTCGGTTATTTGTCACTGTATTACTGAGTTGTAGGAGCATTCTTTATATAGTCTAAATACAAGTTCCTTACCAGATATATAATATGCTTCTATTTTCTCCCATTTTGTGGGTTGTGTTTTTACTTTCTTGATTAAAAAAAAAAATTGTGATAAACATACATAACATAAAATTCACCATTTTAACCATTTTTGTGTGTATAGTTCTGTGGCATTAAGTACATTCACACTATTATGCAACCATGACCACCATGCATCCATAGAAACCTTTCATCTTCCCCAAGACGAAACTATATACCCATTAAACACCAACTCCCCAGTCTCCCCTGCTCCCATCCTCTGACAATCACTATTCATTCTACTTTTCATCTCTGTGAATTTGACTATTCTAAATATCCCATACAAGTGGAATTATACAATATTTGTCCTTTTGCATTGATGTTTTGATGAAGTACAAAAGTTTTTCATTTTGATAAAATCCAATTTATCTGTTTTCTTTTGCTGCTTGTGTTTTTGGCATACTATCTACGGAACTATGGCTAAATTCGACATCACAAGGATTTACCCCTATATTTTCTTCTTAGATTTCATGTAGTAATCATTACACGTTATCAGAAGAACTTGAACTATAGTGTAAATATTGCCTTAATCTGTTCTATGTATCTATTCTCTCAAATTCAATAAGTCTAAAAAAAAATTCTTCAGAGGACTTAGAATGGTTTTTTTTTTCTTTTTTCCTTGTTTCAGTATACAACTGAAGATTTGCTTGATCAAATTCAGGCAAGCGAGGAAGAAATAATGGTCCAGTTACAAGTTCTAAATGCCTGTGAGATTGAAGGTAGCATTACTTATCATAATTATTAATGATGGAATTTTTTGTTTCCACCAGCATCATGTGAGAAAGAAATTTATGGACCTCTTCATCCCATTGCATATTATCTATTTAATCTTCTTTTGGGCTTAAAGCTGATGATATTTATGTTTTTGGATGTGGGGTAGAGACTACATGTGATGTTTACATGAAGAGGTCTAACTGTGACCGGTGACTCCAACCACTCCTTATAGGGCTTTTTCTTGAGGCACATTTGATCCTAAACATTGGAAATAAAGTTTTAAATTATGGATGCCTCCTGTTAATTGCTACAGTATATGGGTACCATGAATGTTGAGGTTAGAAACCAGTGGATTTTAAAGCAACCCTCTGCATTTTTCACTTCTTGCCTGGGGATGTATAAAATTTTGGTATGTGTCGAGGGGTGCATAGATTATTCCTGGCATTTTCTCGGATTGACATCACACACTCCCTTTTCTAATGTTGCCTTTATTTTTTCAGAATAACAATAGTAACATTCTCCCTTGGAAATGGTGGATTTGTACTTGATTTGTTTCTCCAGGGGTGGTGGTGGTGCCTTCAATGATCAGTTGGCATTTTGTGATCTTTCACAAGAATAGGGAAAGGTATCTTGATGTCCAGCCTTTATCTTGCTACCGGTTCATATCATACCTCTGAGTCTGTTGACTCTTGAGTGACCTAGGCTTCTTTATGAGCCCAAGAACACCTCTGCAAGACAACTAGATGAGAGTTATAACCATGCCAGTGCCCCAGAGTGGAGATCACCATGTGGGATATCCAACCTACGACCTTCACCTCATTTGTACAATGTTCTCTTGAAATCACTGAACCAGCTACAGGTTTCTGCATTTCCATTTAGATTGACAAGATTATTCTGAAATCATTATTAAAGCACTTGAAAAAAATGAGTCATATGTAAGGTACTTTTTAAAAACCACTAGGGTTTCTCTCCAGACACAATTCGTAATGATTAGGAGAAAAGCGTAAAAAGAAGCCTTGCTTATAAAGGAAGCTAAGACTTCTAGTGTCTCTTTTTTGTACTGGGCAAGAGCACACTGCTTCTTTATCAATCTATTAGCCAATTAATTTGCTTACAATGTACTTTGGGAATTTGTAGGTTATTGGAGGATTCTTGAATTTGATTATGAGATGAAACTTCTAAATCACGTAACTCAGCTTGTGGATTCTGAATCTTGGTCTTTTGATAAAGTTCCTTTGAATACTTGCCTTCAGGAACTTGGACCACTGGAGCCAGAGTAAGTATTTTAATTACTGTCTTTCCAAACTTCCTTAAAGGAAAGAAAATTATTTCCCAGGGTGCAACTAAACATAGGGAGTAGACTATATTTTGATGTCTTACAGAAATTTAAAAAATAAAAGAACCAGGAAGGACTTAGGAGTTTTGGTCACTGGACTGAATAAATGTGCATCATCTTTTTTTTCCTACCTTAAAAAATATAAAGAATGGTGCCTGGGTGGCTCAGTCGTTAAGCGTCTACCTTTGGCTCGGGTCATGATCCCAGGGTGCTGGGATCGAGTCCCACATCAGGCTCCTTGCTCGGCGGGAAGCCTGCTTCTCCCTCTCCCACTCCCCCTGCTTGTGTTCCTGCTCTCGCTTTCTCTCTCTCTGTCAAATAAATAAAATCTTTAAAAAAATAACTCACGCATCATTATTTATTTATCTTGTGATAACGTATGCTTACGTAATTCATGAAAAAATGTTTAGCGTGGGCCTGGCACGTAGTAGCCTTCCAGTATATTTTAGTTAGTTCCTCCTGTAAAATTTTACTTGGCAACCAAAATCACTTAGTATTTCAAATCTCAAATTTATATCTTAAGTTTTTAGTTAGCAATGGTGTTTAAGATATAATGCATAAAAATGTATTGATAACTTTTCAAAGGAGTGTTTTAAATTTTTCAGGGAAATGATTGCACACTGTCTTAAATGTTATGGAAAGAAATATGTAGAGGAAGGTAAGATTTGGAAAATATTTTAACTTGTTTGTGTTAAGATTGGTATGCCTTTCTGAAATGTGTGCCTGAGTTTGCAGGAGGTGAGTTGTGTGTAATTTTTTCTGAGAAATTGCGCTAGGGAAAAGGATACAGTAGTAGTGTATTGAAGTCAGAAGACAATATGAAACTTCCTCTTCCTTAGGTGAAGTTTATTTTGCACTGAGTGCTGATAAAATATGCAGAGCAACAGCACAGATGCTCCTTCAGAATGCAGTGAAATTTAACCTCGCTGAGTTTCAAGAAGTGTGGCAACAGAGTGTTCCCGAAGGAATGATAACTAGTCTTGATCAGCTTAAGGTAAGGTTAGCAGTGGTGATTGCTACCATAACTCAATGGGGTCTCGTTAGTTACTGGGTGACATGAAATCTGTATTGCCACTGAGCTTGGAGACACTTTATTTTCCTAGCCACCATCTCCATTAGGAGCAGACTATACATTCAGTCCGACACTAGTTTTAGAACGTTTCTGTCGCCTCAGTGAGATCCCTCAGGCCTGTGTGCAGTTAATCCTTCTTCCCACCTGCTGCATTTCTGTTTCCACCAGCACTGTTGTAGTCCACTGTCATGTTTGTCTGGCTATAAAGAGCAATGGAGTCCCTCAGCGGGCCCTCTGTACTTTTAATTTTGCCCACCTCCGATCCATTCTCTGCAGTGCTGCTAGAATGACCTTTGAAAAATGCCAGTCAGATTAGATGAACGTCATCCTTAATGATTTAACGGTTGCCCGTAGCATTTAAGATAGAAAATCCAGGAGGACGCCTGGGTGGCTCGGTCAGTTAAGCGTCTACCTTTGGCTCAGGTCATGATCCCAGAGTCCTGGGATCGAGTCCTGCATCCGGCTCCCTGCTCAGTGGGGAGTCTGCTTCTCCCTCTCCCTCCTCCCTTCCCCCCTCCCCTCTGCTTGTGCACTCGTGTGCATGCTCTCTCTCTCTCAAATAAATAAATAAAATCTTAAAAAAAAAATCCAGAATTTGTATCTTGGCCTACAAAACACTTCATCATCTCCCTTGTAGCTCCATCTCTTCCTCCTTCTCTCCTGCTCACTGCATACCAGCCGTCTTTCAGGTTTTCAAGATCATCAAGCTCTCTCCTACCTTAGGACCTGCCCACAAGGCTTTTTGTTCTAGAATGACCTTCTTTGTAATTTCGCCTTGCCACCTCCTACATCTTTGAGTCACTTCCTCAAGGATGCTTTTCTTTTTTCTAAAAAAAAAAATGCCTCCTGTTTTACTTGGTCAGAGCACCCTGTATTTTTCCTTCCTGGCACTCACCGCTTAGCTCTGGGAAAATGTTTAATTATGGGTGTTTCCCACTCTCCACTGTGATAGAATTTTGTTCACTGTTGCTTGCCAATGTACAGCATTTTGCCTGGCGTATGCTCAGGGTATGCTCAGTAAGTATGTGTTACAGCGTGAAAGGATTTGCTCAATATTTAGAGTTCCTTTTATGTCTAGGCACCATGCTAGATGCTGAGAAGAAAACCACGTGCTGTCAGGGTCCTCAGCCTGGGCTCTGGAGATGGGGGTGTGCACATTACATGTATAAATCCTTTCTTATAATGTAGAGTGATCTGTGTCATGGGAAGGGCATGTATAAGATGTTATGGGAGCAAAGAAAAGGGACTTATCCATCTGACTGGTCGATCGGGGATGATTTTCTGAAGGCATGGCTATTTGAGCTGCTGAGTTTGAAAGGATGAACTATGAACTCTAGATGGAAGGGCAGAGATGAGGACCCAGGAGAGCATGTTCCAAGGCATGGAGGGATACAAATTGGGGCACTATTAGTAGGGATGCAGGACTAGAGTAAAAGGTGCTGGTGAGTCAGTGAGGGACACTATGGTCTGTGCTAAGGAATTTCATTCCTATTTAGAAAGCTCTCTGGGGCCTTTTAGTGACATCAGAAGAGCTACCTGATGAATTTTGCCTTTTAGAAAGAACACTATGACATTGAGGATGGTTGGATGGAAGGTTGGCTAGATTATGAAAAAGGAGAAATCTCCAGGCTCTCTATAGTTACGTACTCCTAGCTAAGAAAGTACTGGCCAAAGAAATAGGTGATGGAGAATGGATAAGGGAAATGTTGAGGCCTTAAAATCTATAGGATTAAGTGACCATGTAGGTACAGGGTTTGAATAATGGAATCGAGGATAATGCCCAGGTTTCATGGTTTCCTAGGATAATGGGATAAGAGCAGTTTTGGGTAACAAACACAATGGGTTCATAGATAGGTTTGGATATAGAGTTCTTGTGCTCGTTCTCGGAAGAGCAATTTGAGGTGAAAATGCCTATGTTACTGTCATTAGCAAGTAAGTAGTGTTTGCAGTCCTAGGTTTAGTCGAGGTGAGTTGAGCCACTCAGGACAGTGACAGTGAGACAAGTCGGGGGATCAGGGTAGGAACCCCCAGGAACTACAACATTGAGTTCGGAGGAAAATAATGAGACGGTGATGTCAGCGATGGAGATTCAAAGAGGGAGGAAGCAACATTAATGAAGAAAACAGGGCTAGCAAATCCAAGGAAAGGGCCCACTAGATTTGGCAATGACAGGTCATTGGTGACTTTGAACTAGAGCTAACCTGATAAATTGAGCAGCAGAAGCCAGATTGTAGAAGGGAAAAGGAGAATTCACTGTTTAACGGAGCTCTTTTTATGAAAAAGGCTATTGAGGGTTTCTGGGTAGTTTGTGTAAGTTTCACATAGCTGACATTTTTAGCGGCTTGGGCTCAGCCAAACCTAAAGGTAAAAGAATGAGTCGTATTTAGACACTAGACCGTTATTTTAACTGCCCTTTTTCATTTCATTTTTAAATAGGGGTTAGCCTTGGTGGATAGACACTCAAGACCAGAAATCATATTTTTGCTAAAAGTAGATGATTTGCCTGAGGATAATCAAGAACGTTTTAACAGTCTATTCTCTCTAAGGGAAAAGTGGACAGAAGAAGACATTGCTCCATATATTCAGTAAGTAATTTACTAAAGTGGATTTTGAGAGTTCTTTGTAGCATAGGGGTTTTAGATTTATGATTAGGACATGATTAGGACATTTTTTTTTTTTTTTGAGTGTTCCCTGAGGACATGGCTTCCTTTGAAACTTTTTCAAGTGGTGGCTGTTTTCTCTGTCATTCTTCACAACTTCTGATCCTGGAGGTGGGGAATGTGTTGTCTGTCTTTCTCATGCTGCCTCTAAAACCACTTCTCTGCCCTCCTCCCTGCAAAACTGCAGCTCTTTGAGGCCCACTCAGACTGCATACCCCACTATGGCTCTAAAGCAAACCCTCTCTCTGATGGACACCTCCTCTCTTTCCTGATGCCTCACTTTAACATTTTGGTAGATGCCAGATTGCAGAAGAACTACCTAGCTCATTAGTCACTGTTTACAGGACCTCAGATGTACTAATGCTGCCACCTCTTCACTGTGTCTTAGCTCTCGTGTCCTCTCCTCCCTTTACCCAGGTTGGATTTCCTGCTCAGGGTCTCTAGCTTCTACTGGGCATACTTTGCTCCTATGGCCCTTTCTCCCCCTTGTCACACCTCTCTGGCAAAAAAAAATCCACAAAGATAAAACTCAACTTTTCTGCTTACTCTGTGCCTACACATGGGCAGATGACAAATTTCCTGGAGAAAAAGACACAATGGAACTTGCCAGTCTTACTTAAGAGCTTGAGTGGTACTTACCTGGGTCCTTGGCAAAGCACCGTTTCCTAATGAAACTTTTCTACCCTTGGAGCTCACTTTCATATTTTTGCTTTTCATGTCATCAATACCTTCTTTTTCCTCTTCACCTTCAGCTTGTGACCTCGTTTCTTGAGAAAATAGAAACAGATGAGAAAAGACAAGGACAACTTCTTTCCTACCGCCAAACCTGCCAGTCTCTTTGTATTATGTCCATACATACTCCCTTTGCAGTCCTTCCTCTATAATGCATGAACCATCCCTGCTCCTAAGGCCAGTCCTCCTCCTGCACTAGATCCATCCCTCTGGCCTTATTAAAGACATACATCCTCTAGTTATCATTTTCCCCCTTGTGTTATTGATGTCTCCCTACCTGCTGGATTATTCCCATCAATATATGGTATACTGTAGTAGCAGTGCTCATTTCAAAAAACAACAACCTACTGGACCCCATACCCTCTGCTCTCCTTCACAAGAAATTCCTTTTGGAAGTTTGTGTACTCCTTTCTGCTTCTTTGTCTCCCATTCTTTCCTTAACCTGTTGGCATCTGTCTTTCTACATTTCAGTGGTCAACTGTCTGTCCTTGTTTACTTGGCCTCTTAGAACTGTTGGACACTGTGGACCACTTTCTACTTGAAACACATCATTTTTGTCCCTTCTCTCCCGAGGCAGCTCCTTTTCTGTCTCTTTCTCATGTCTCCCTGTTCTTTCCAATCTTTAAATGTTGGTGTGCTCCAGGACTATTCTTGACCATCTGCTTTTCCATTTATATTTTTTCCCTTGGTGCCCTCATCTAGACCTGGATTTAAACTTAATGACTTCCTAATTTTATCTTCATATTTGATCTTTCCCCTGAGTTCCAGTTTCTCTTATCTAGCTGCCTATTGAACATTTCCACTTGGATATCTAAGAGGAATTTCAAACCTGACATGCTCACAACGGAACTGTGGTTCCACCTTGTCCTAACCCCATCTTCCACCTCTCAGTAACATCACCACCATTAATCCAGTTACTCAAGCAAAAAGTCTGGGAATCATACTTGTCTTTTTCTTCTCTTGCTCCCTGGTTCAAACTATGAGCAAATCCTAATGGATCATCTAGTACCTGCCTCTGAATTGGTCTCCCTACTTATATTTTCCCCCTCTTCTCCTGTCCCACTTTTCAAACTTTTTATTTTGGAAAATTTTAAACATTCAAAAGTGACAGTATAACATAATGAACCTGCCATGTACTCACCACTTAGCTTCCATAATCATCAACTCATTGCCTCCATTATTTAAAACTTAGATCACATTCTGCTTTTCCATTAATGAAAACCCTCCTAGTGACTTCCCTTTATACTTAGAATTAAATCACAACTTCTTTCCATGTTCTTTAAGGCCCTGTATGACTTTGCCCTTGCTCCCTTCTCCAGCTCATGTCCTCTCATTCTTCCTTCACCTCCTTTGTTCCAGTCATAGTCCTTCTCCTCTTTGGGTATACAAGACGAAGCTAAAATTCAGGAAGGGTGGGTAACATAAATAAGCACACACAAGTAGCTTAGGATCCAGGGTCTCCGTATCTAGACCTTCCTATATCACATGGCTTGTATTTCTAATTTGGAGCCTGTGTGATATAATGGAAAAAAACAAATTGGACTTAGAAGTCATGCAGACCTGGCAGCGAAGTTTGGTTCCATCCTTGACTACCTGAGCCCCATATCTAATGTGGGGTTAAATAATACATTACTTTTAACTCTTTCTGTGGTTAAATGAGGTAATACATGTAAAGTACCTAGTTCAATTAAGGCTTAGTAACCACTCCCTACCCTGTCTCTCCCACAAACATACATCCTTATGCTTGTTGGAAAGATGGACTTAGGCAAGAGAGATATAAATAACTAGCACTGTGAATATTATGTTCCCTAACATACTCATGCTATTCTTTTTATTTTTTATTGTTCCCACAGAGATTTGTGTGGAGAGAAGCAAACCATAGGTGCATTACTCACTAAATATTCTCGCTCTTCAATACAAAATGGTGTTAAAGTTTACAATTCCAGAAGACCCATTTCTTAAAAGAACAACAGTCTGTTCTTTGGGACTAAAGTTGCTTCATAAAGTTGATGGTTATAAGAAAAAGATTATTGCATATATTTGTATTCCAGCTTTTAAGAAACATGCTTTGAAACATTTTTCTCCTAATCCTAAGCATTTTGAAACTACTGCTCTTTTTCCCTTAAATGTAATAGGATATTTCTATATCTTTCAATTTATTTTTTCATTACGCATACAGTGTAAACAAGGACAAAAGAAAGTTATTCCCTATATTTAGTATATCTCGAGTCTATGTGGTTTTATTTACAGAAAAGTGTTGCCTTTTTTATATTTAAAATTGCATTCCTTTAATTAGGATTTGACGTTCTAATCATTAACAAATTTAAAGGCTTTTTCAGAGAACTAAATAGTAATAGTTTCCTAGAAGAGTAATTATTTATTCACTTAAATGTCATTTCTCAAGTGATTTCCCCTCTATTTTCAACATTCCACCAAGACAGGGAGTCACTAGATCCTCTGTTACCTAACTTAGTCATTTGCATTGATGAAATTGGCTTGGTAATAGCTGCTATGTTGCCTGGCTGATGTCCATGTGCACTTTGGGGTGAAATGGATTTGATCCTCAATCGTACGTGAAGAATACTAATAGAGCAATTTATAATCCCATAATGGAGAAAACTGACACGGGTAGTACTGGAAAACTGCAAGTAATGTCTGATGGGTTTTGGAATGCTTGATAAAGTTCCTTTATAGCTTTATTTTCCTGATTTGTATTCATTTAGACCAAAGGTCAGATTAATTTTAACTTAGCTAATAAACCTGTCACCAGGACAGTTTGAGGGCTTAGGCCAAAGATAAATCTGATCCAAGGTAGAAAAAATGTTAATGCATAATCCACAATTACCTAACCCAAGATTTAACTGTTATTGAAATTTACAACTGTTTTATTCTCTTGTACATGAACTGCAAATGTCGATGGCTTCAAAATATTTGTCTTTTCGGGCGCCTGGGTGGCTCAGTTGGTTAAGCGACTGCCTTCGGCTCAGGTCGTGATCCTGGAGTCCCAGGATCGAGTCCCGCATCGGGCTCCCTGCTCAGCGGGGGGTCTGCTTCTCCCTCTGACCCTC